AACTAGAAGGTGCAGCAGGTTCCACAGGACAACTTTGGTTTTGACAAAAATAAAAAGATGGACTGTTTTCTCCCATTTTTGGAGTATGAAATGAAAATGGAATAACCATCTGTTTCAATGTGTGTTTTAAAATGAAAAACGAATGACTGAAAAGTACACGGACCGTTGATAGTCTGAGAGGAAAATAAACTCTCCCCGGCCTCCTACCTTGCCAGATGAAGCACCGCCTCCGTTACGTTGCTTCCATCTTTGGCGCTGGTTTCGCAGAACAAGGCACCGTACTCCTGCGAGCCACGGAGTTAGTTTACTCTGACACACAGGAGGGTCCAGCATCTGTGTAAAGCCACCAAAGCTGGTGGAATCACAAACTCACCTTGGCCAGCTTTTCTCCTTGTGAAGTGCTGACACAGCTTCCTGTTGGAAGCTGCTCCCGGAGGTCCGCCTTGTTTCCAACGACGCACAGAGCCATTCTCTCAYCCGTGGACTCCTTCGTGTAAACAAAGAACAGAAGAACTAAATCCGTGCTTTCTTACACTTATTTAAACAACTTCACCAGCGCCGCCGCAGCTACCTGGATCTCATCCACCCAGGCTCGGACGTTCAGAAAGCTGCTCTCTGACGTGACGTCGTAGAGCAGCAGGACGCCGTGGGCTTTACGAAAATACGACCGGGCGATGCTGCGGAACCTGGAAGTCGAAGCAAAGCACGCCTCTATTTTTAGTCTGGGGGTGTTTTTCACGGCGTTAGCATCAAAAGATGTTTACATGTTTACACAGGCGCGATGACAATACGTCTTCCTGTTGTTGCTTCCTTGATGAACATCCTTGGGAAAAAAAAAAGAAATAAAAAAAATGGCGTACCTTTCCTGACCAGCTGTGTCCCAGATCTGCAGACTCGTCGGCTCTCCGTCCACCAACATCCTCTTCAAATGGAAATCAACACCTGAGAGTACAAATGGTTTTCATTAAACCTCTAAATTCAAGAATACATTGTGAAACAGACTGCAAACTTCAGTGCTTCATAAAAAAATGCCAAAATCCAACTCTGGAACATTAAACATTAAAAAAGTAAAATAAACAAGTTCTGCCGGCTTTTGCGTGAGATTTAAAGCTGTGTATGTGGAACAAATGTTTCAAATGATGCTTTTTTTTAATATATATTTTCTGTTCCTGACACCCACCCAGCGTTGTCTGAATGTCTCCTCTGAACTCGTTGAGCATCAGACGCAGCAGGAAGCTGGACTTCCCAGCCCCTGCGTCTCCTGCTAAAACCACGCGGTAAATCGGGGCTGAATCTACGGCCTTTGCAGCGTCGTCCTCGAACTGCTGCGAGGAATACAAAGTTAATGAGCTTAAACTGACATTATAGAGTCAAAAGCATAAGGAAACAGGGTCACCGTGATTTAAAATGCTAGAATCTTAAAGTCTTTCAGCTGAAAAAGCACATTTGAAAAAACAAACTTTTTTTCCTGAAAAAAAAGTCTAGCAGTGGTTTTCAAACTGCTCAGCTCAAAAAGAACTCCCACAGACTTCTATTGTTAGATGAATTACAGTTTTTTATTAAATCTTGTCGATAACTGTATTATTTTTATCCATTTATGAGCACTATTTTAGTCTCTTTGGAACAACCGAGACTAAAATATGCAAGTGGTAATTATTTTTAAGGTTAATCAGGTTTGGAAAMCTTATATGGAAATTATTGGGAATTTATAAACTTAAGTGGAAAAATACCAGTTATTTAAAATTTTGATGGATTTTAAATACAGTTAGGGAAAACACATTTTAACATAATTTTGAATAAAACAACCGGATTTCATGCAGGTACTCATATGTAAGCCATTCTTAATTCTTGTCAATCACATGACCAGGAGTTTTGAGGCCACACCCACTATGACCTGTGCATTCCTCCATGACACGCACAACAAACAACTTCTACAAACCTGAACCACATTTCTGAACTTAAGAGCATAAAACTGTTGAAGCCACACATCTGAGCTCATGGACTACATCAAAGTGAAGTAAGCACTGGTCATATTGGATAAATATATTTCATGTATGGTTTTAATGCAGCTGTTATCTGAATAAATAAGCTTGAACTCCAAATTGATGTTGCTTCTATTCACCACCACTAGATGGAGACATTTCTTTGATTATATCCCAACATTGATGCATGTTTTCAGGTAAAATGTTTAAGAATATTGGAAAGGAAATAAAGATTTGGATTTGTGTGGGTTAGCGTGTTTAAGATCGGTTGGGAGGTTTGATCTCTGATGGAAATTTTCAGGAAAACCACTGCAACCTTGCAACCCTGAAGTTATTTATTTTTGTAGCTCTGACGACCCCCCAACTGGAGTTCTGTAAGAAAGGTCTCAACCAAGCCAGTATTTGCCAGTTAAATATTTTGTCCGTGTTTACCTTTGGTGAAAAGGCAGACAGGCGTCTCCGCAGGGATGAGGCTACGGAGCTGGCTCTGCTGGGAGTCACCGACTCCGCAGCTTCAGATTTCACCTCTGAGATCTGTAACAAACAGGAAAAACACTTGTTTTTTAACTCCTAAGAGAACCGTGGGGTGTTTCTCTGACCCCTGCTCCACATCTTGACCCTGCYGTTTCCTCCTACCTCTACATCAGAAGGAATGTAGGAGTAGCTGTGGTGCACGGTTTCCACAGAGCTCCTGCTGTCGTCGCTGTCATAGTCGATCTCGGCCACGTACGTCGGCAGGGAGAGCCCGCTATCCAGGTACCGATCGGCCCAGGTGGCCACTCGAGAGAACGAGGGGCTCTGCTCTGACCTGCACACAGAGAGGGGATGAAGTTGAGCTCACAGGGATCCATCTGCAGAGTCACAGGGGAGTAAAGGAAGCGGACGCACCTGCCGTGGTTGAGCGTGCTCTGTCGGAGCGGCTTCATTCTTCGGGCTGGGACTTCGTTTTGGGGAGACAACTGTCGTACAGATCAGAAACATCAGGAAGGAAGGGAAGTTTTTATTTATGCTGCTAGCAGAGCAAACTTTTAGCTCCTTTGTGTCGCAAAGAACTCACCCTTCTTTTAGCTGCAACCGCATGACTGGCTAAAGCAGAGCGCAGGCCGTCGTTACTGTCGTASAGCTTTTTATTCATTTCTCTGAAGGTGAAAAGAAATGCAGGATGATAGATGACCTTTACACAAGCTGTTTGTATGTTTCAGACAAAATGGAAAGCACATTTGAAACTGGACAATACAGAGTAAAATTTTGAAGAAATTATTGGGGTTTACCACAGCATCCAAACCAGTAAGTCAGGTGATGGGGCATACCCTCTATGAACAATAGAGCTAATCAAGCCTATTGTTAAGCGATGGCCCTCTTTTGCATGTGACTAACCTGTTTGTCCATGTGGAGGCAGTGCTTATAATATAAGGCTGAGTTCACCTGAAACTCCTCAGACTGAAGAAGTCTCTTGGAGAGAAGAAACGTTTCACTAAAGAAGAACCCATCCAGAGGACCTACTTATTTTTTCTTTTTGATATTGGGGTTTAGGTTTATATAACCGATTTAAAGTACATACACATGGTATAGTTTTATGATAGAACTGTAATGATTGTTAAATGTGACTGTTTTGTTTAACTTGATTATTTTTGTATTAACAGCTGCATGCCTGAAAACAAAACTCTTGGTCACTTCATTAAACCATACAAAACCAAACAGCGCTCTCTGCTGAAGTCTGGTTTAATGAAGTGACCAAGAGTTCAGCCCGAAAATAAGGAAGTACAACTGGCTTTAACAAAAGCTCTGAGGCGTGGCTCCGCCTATTTGATTACATCATCRTTGAGGGGTCCCTACGYTGCTTGAAGCCACGCCCCYAGACATAATAATCTACCCTAATGAAGATTTAAAAGTTCAGTTATGTGTCGAATTTGTTTTCAGGCATGCAGCTATTAATATAAAAATCATCAAGTTAAACAAAACAGTCACATTTAACAATCATTACAGTTCTATCATAAAACTATACCATGTGTATGTACTTTAAATCAGTTATATAAACCTAAACCCCAATAATTTCTTCAAAATCGCATTTTTGTAAGAAAAAAGACACGAGCAGGGGAATAAAATGACCTCAAAATGTAGGTAAATTTTAAATTYRCCTTGATCTGAGTCATGAGTGCAATAAACATGAATCTTTTGGCTCTGTGTAAGATAACAAAAACTGGTAGATCGACTGAAAATGTGATCTCATTGTTGCAAGACATTGTTTAATAGTTGTTTATTTGCTAAAAAACAAAAAGAGAGAATCACATGACAGACAAACTCACTGCAGCATCTGAATCTGACTGGAGTATGATTGATGTTCCAGGACCGTCCTCTTCAGTTCTTCCTTTTCTCTGTAAAGACAATCATTTCTTTAGCCGTTAAGCTAAAAATAAAACTTAAATTTGGACATTTACCGTTCATGTTGAGCTTTCTGGTCTGCGTGCATGTTCTTCAGCTTGTCCAGCTCAGACAGGAGGACGGCGATGTTCGTCTCGGCTTTGAGCAGAGAGCCTCGCAGCTGCTCGTTTTCCTGCGGACAGGCGAGTTTTTGACCGTTCTGTTCAACGYGCACGTTTGACTGAATGCCCCGAGCAGCTCACCTGTGAGAGTTCACTGATGTGTCTGTTCAGTTTGAGCATCTCCTCCTTCGACTGGTTCCACTCGGAACTCTCTTGATCCTTGAGATTTAAACAGGAACAGGGACATTTTGGTAGGATAGGTGAGGAAACTTTGGTCTCAGCTCAGTTTGGTAAAAAAAAAATTAATTGGTTAAAACACCTTTTCAGAGAACAGCGACTTTTAAATTTCATGATTTTTATTTTTGGTTTCAGGAATTAAAATGAACTTTTTAGATATTTCAATTTTCAAATAATTATTATGACGTTCTAGTATCCTTGAATTGTACAAAGTTTTCTCAGAACTRACAAATAAAATAAAGATCAAAACCTTATTGCTTTTACTGTGAAGTGTCGCCATCTACTGGAAAAAAACAGCAATTACACCTAAGACAGATCTTGAGGTGCTGTTTTTCTTCTATGGGCATGTTCACAAAAGGAAGAATGATTTGCAACTCACTTAAATTTAAAAGTTTGTAATTTTAGTTTTCTGTTTGACTTCAGAAAGACCCTTGGATGAGAAGCAAGAGGGAAGGAACTACTTTCAGTAGATGGTCATCAGGATGTTTCATGTTGACAGATTTGTGGTTTAAACATTACACATGCTTCTTTTTCCCCCCTCACAGTTCATCTTGTTTAAACCTAAGTGCGTGCCAGCTTTAGTCCAAGACAAACATTTGGAGCTCTATCCGAAGGAAGTTCTGCATCCACACAAGATGCTGCTTCTCCTTCCAAATCAGATTACATCCGTCTGTCGCCTGACGGCACAACGGGTCAATGTGCAGCACATCGTGACGTTCTGACTGTGCACCGAGGTTAAAACATGTTCAGCTTAGCTGCACGGCTCTTTGACACATCAAAGTGTTCTGTGAGGACTCACAAAACGTGTAGAGAACTGTGTGTGGGTGTCAACACACACACCACTGAGTTCATCACTTCTATCAGGGTGATTCGTCTGAAGGTGCTTCTTATATTTTTTGAGCTTTGGCAACTTAAATAGATCTGGGCCCGTATTTATAAAACTTCTTAGAATTACTTTTAAGAATGCTGCTAAGAGTGGACTTAAGTGTAAAATAATTCTTAGTTAAAAGCTGAGAGTAAAAGTCAGTTATCAAATGTCTCAGTCTCACTTCAAGCAAAGTGTAGGAGTAATTCTTAAGTGTCAGTCTTAGAGCTGATTAGCAACACCTGGCTGTGCCGCAAAGCTGATCCTGGATGACGTCGTTAGAAAAAACACCAGCATTGACAGAGAGCGTTGACAGAGAGGAGAAGGTAGAAATTACTCAGCCTGTAACTGAAAATATGGGTGGAGGACCTCAGTTTAGCTTGTTTGTTGCACTAGCACCGAGCTAATACATATAAGGT